TAATTGATTTAAATTGATGCTTATGCATGTTAAGTTGATGTTTTGAATCATGTATGTATGATATATGATGTATGGTGAGGTGTGATTCATATGTATGCATAGCGATGATATATATGAATGTTTAAATAAGACATGACATGAGACTAGCCTAAGACTTGAGGAGAGGAAAAATATTTTCGAATTGGAAGAACTCACATAGAGTCTCTTGAGAGTGGTGCTTGGATAGACCACTGATATATGAGAGTGGTGCTCAAGGAGGCCACTCGATTTGGGAGAGTGGTGCTCAGATAGGCCACTGGGTTGGGTGAGTCTCCTCTAAGTACTTAGCTAGTGTTGGAGCGGGGTATGAGGTTGAGGATTATTCCCTTAACCAAGTACTCGGGAAGGTTGCGTGGATCCTTGCGGATAGTCGGTGGGTGAACTCCACAATTGACTTGGTTATGCATGTCAAGGTCGTGGTAAGCTCGTACCCAGCTGTGCTATACCTGACGGTGGATTTGGACTTCCAATTGTGTAAGTGACATCATCCGAGTAAACCCGAGTGAGGATTATATCATGTTTAGTTGTGACCGAGCGGACGCATTGGGCATGAAAACGGTTGGGGTGGTTTCAGTAGGATGGGATGTCACTTATACAACTCTATTGTTAGGGAGATCTCCTAGGTGTATGCGTGATGACGCATTAGATGATTGATATGCATTGATATCTATCTTGAGATGCATTTATTGCATGATTATTAGTATGATGAAGTGTGGTGTTTGACTTCGTGATTGGTGGATTGTATTTTATGCATGAGTAGTGTTGGATAGAGTGTATATGGTGTGACTCTATGAACATGATTGAAGTTTTGGATGATGTGTAATATAGATTTTATTATGTACTTGTATGATTGGTTTTGAACTCTAGCTTACCCTTCTGTTTTCATGTGGTGGAACTGCGATGATCATACTTGGTATGGGAGCAGGTCAGGGCTAGCTTGGAGTTGAGGTGTCCGCTACTACGAGACGGGGAGTTTTGATCCTCGTGTTAGAGTTACCATTTTGAGTAACGATTTTGTTTGTGCTTGACCGGCACTAGGAAATATTATTTTTTAGATGACTGTACATATATGGAGTTTTATTTTATAACCAGAAACTTAGTTATTTCATTTTTATTTGTACATGTATGTATAAGTTATCTAACTTAATATTTTTCTTAGTTTCACTAGCAGTAGTGCGATTCCACTAAGTGTAGAGACTATGACGGGTCGTTACACTTTTAATGATCTTGAATTAATATAAAATTTTATTTATATGATCTAAGTGATATGAACTTTCAATTTAACGATTAAATTTACAAAATTCGCATTTAATATAAAGTTATTGAGCGATGTAACACTTAGTAAAAATCACACCGGTATTATTATAACTCCTCCATATTTTATTAGAAGTATATATATAAATGCACTATAATCGCGAAAGGGATAAAAAATAATTGGATGAACCAAGCAAATAAATAGTGGGCAATTTACGTTTAATAGTAGTATATACTATAGATTTAAGGCAAATTCATTTGGCGTCTTTCTTTTTTGTTTTGTTTAGTGGCTGGCCAACACACTTGCAACTGAACCATGTTACACATGTCTCTTTCGAGAAAATAGACCACAGGTGTGTGTTTGAATTAACGTTGTATTTGGTTGAACCAAAAAACTATATAATAAGTGTTGAGTTGTTTTTAACAAGCATCTGAAAGTGGAAAATTCACCAACTAAACACGTTATCAAAAGTTAATTTAAACAATATCTGATTGCATAATCTATCCATAGATATTGTACATTTGTTAACTACGGCTATTAAACTTGTATATGTTTTTTTTTATATGATGTAGACCTCCACTGAACTAATCATTAGCACACGGCGCAAACCTTGGCATTCTTATTTCTTCACCACTACTTTCTATATTAAGCCCACGTTTCCATTACCATTGCTAATTTTATTTGTAGATATTTTGCCCTAAACTTCTTTCATTTTAAATTCCGGTGTGCTTTTTTGTTTCGATTTCTGGTGGACATTTCTGGTCTTTAATAATACTGATTTGGATTTTTTGTTTCACCTTTTTACCTTTCCCCCACTTTTGAGCCTAATGTTTCTTACCACTTTTTATTTAAGTGCATAAAAAGCATAATGGTCCAAAATGTAGTCTGGTTACACCTTTTAAGACCACTTTCATTTCTTAATAACTAAGAAAAAAAATTGCACTTCCGTAACATTCAGAGTCTAGCTTCTACAGCTACCAGAAAATGACGCAAAGAGACATCTAATTAACGAGGAATGCTAGTGTGAAACCTGTTCTATATAATGTATATTTAAGCTTTATATAGTTTCGGTGGTTACTGCAAATGTACGACTTATTATAGCAAGCACCAATGCACAATACGTTACATGCATTCATTACTTCCCTTTCAAACATTTGTGTTTAGCAGATCCCTCAATTTCCGCTAGTAAATTATGAAACATCGACATTATTTAAGGTGGCAATTAGCTGTGCTTAGTCAATCTGTACAAGGTTTGAGTTTAGCTTTTCATTTTCAAGATTAAAGTTTAACTTGTTCATTTTAAAAAAATTAAATATTGAGATCTAATTCACATAGTTAAGCATATTGCGAGAATTGTTGGAAAAAAATATTTAGTATCGAGTTCAATTTCCATCGGTTTTGCATCATTAAATTTTAATGAAGTTATTTTTTTAACTATTTTCATATATTAAAATTAGTGATTTAATGATTAAATTTAAAATCTTATTAAGCAAATCAAATTACTAAATATATAAACTATATGTTATAGAATAAAATTAATTTAACTCATAATATAGTTTTTTAAAACATGAATAAACATTAATTGTAAGTTTACATAATTTCTAACGTTTAACTTGTGTAAACTTATATACATATATATATATATATATATATATATATATAGAGTTTT